TCTGTCCCCGCTGACAAGCATCTGGAGCAGGGAGCTGAGGAGACGGGGCTCCATGGACCAGGTAGGAAAAAAATGGCAGTGGGGATGGAGGAAGAGAGGGAGGAAGGAGAGATGAGTTGGTGGGTGTTTGTGAAGATGGATGTTGGGCTGGGAAAAGACAAACAACTTCAGTGGACCTGGGGTGGGGGGGTCTGTGAGTTTCTCAGGAGTTTACTGCTGTCGTACTGTTTACTGCTGGATGATGTCACTCCTGAGTGAAGAGAAAACTGTAATATAAATATATACCTGGTTTTACATGGTGTGTTACATCTTGACCATTCTTACTGAGCTGTAATCTGGCAGCTTGTTCGCCTCCTGATTAAACTGCATGTTGCCTCCCCACCTCCTCATGTTCTCCATCGACACCGTCTCTAACAACCCTCCTCTTTAAATGCAGCAGAGTTTGAGTCTCAGCCTCTCAGTTCTATCTCTGCTTCACCCTCAGCCCTGCCGCTTCCTCCACATTTCTCCATCACTTCTTGTGAGCTACAGTGCGGCGTGGCTCCTCCCTCCCTCCCTTCCTCTCTCCCCCAACCTCAGCATGAACATGACACAGCAGCATGACACAGGCCACTCACATTGTTCACAAGCTAAGACTACATTTTCTATTTTTGACGCGTCATTTTTATACTGATGCTAAATCTCTGCTACTGTTTTATTATGGTTTATTATGTCCTTGCTGGACTGCAGTCTTGTCACCACTTGTTAGGTTGTGACATAATACACATGGGAGCATTAATACCTTAAAACTCAAAAGGATAAAAAAAACGTGATTTTTATTTTTGAAGCATAAAGACCATTTTTACTGTTTAAACTTCCTGAAAATAGATTTAAGCTCTCTGACTTAGTCTTAGCTGAGGAGCTGGGAGTCATTTCTGAAAACAGCACAGCACTGAAACAAAGTAACAGGTAAAAAATAGGTTAAATATAAGGAATTGGAAACAGAAGACACACTGAAGGAGGGCTTGATGTCTTCTGTTTTTGTCTTAGCCTGAGCTGCAGCTGAACACAGGCTTTCTGTTTCAGCTCAGAATGCTGCAGCCTTTGTGACGCAGCTCCAGCTTGCTGCGGCCTACTGCTGCTAAAAAGCCTGCTGCTCTGTTTCACTGTTTTCTCCCAGAGGATCCTTCATATCTGGGCCGACATCCGTCCAGTCAATACAGCACTCAGTCTTAGAAGTTAATGGTTCCTTTTATCTGCAGAGAGAAATACAATATTATGTCAATTTTACATTTGATAAAAAAAAATGTCCACTGAACTTACGTCTTTACTGTACTCTGTCTTTCTTTACTGTTTGTAACAATATCATTGAAGATTTTTTATTGTACTTCAGCAGTAACTAAAAGATAGCATGATGTAGCATTATGCTATCATACTGGACTGCAGTATATATATAGGGAGAAGTTACGTAGAGGAGATGCGCTTTGTGTGCACACTGTTTGGTGACATGTGTTTGTCCTGAGGCATAACTCAGCACACACACACTCCTAAAGCTCATTATCAGGGCAGTGGTCAGATAGGGCTGCTAAGTGCTGATGCTTGCAACCACCACCATCGCAGATGAGCAGGGGGGAAAAAAATGGAGGCGAGCAAGAGAAGCAGACACAGCTGAAAAAGAAACAGAAAGAGGGAGGGGCGGTGGTGGTGGTGGTGGTGGTGGGGGGGGAGTACTTGTATACAGCAAATTTGAAAATAGACTTTCAAAGCAAAAAGATGCAGAGACGAAATTCAGACTAAACAGCTGCAGTATGCAGTAAGTCATCAGTCAGTTGATGGCATGGCAAATGTCACAAGCCATTGTGGTAGTGGTCCAGTTAAGAGAGAATCTCTAGGTTCTGTTTGCTTCCTGGATGTGGCCAATAATACGTTCTTCATGAGGGTTGTATCAGTTAATGTACACTTCCTGTGCGATGATAATCAATTCAACATGACAAATTATTAGAGGGAAGTAGAACCAAACTGAATGGATCAAGTGTAATCTTATTAACCCCCCATTTAATTTCCCCCTTCTAGCTCTTACACAGCACTTACTCAATGATCCACTAACCTGATTTCAGTCATTCACCCTCTATATTAGAAGTTAAAGTTAGAATGTACAGGAGTCTCTCTTTCTCATTCTCTCTCTCTCTCTCTCTCTCTCTCTCTCTCTCTCTCTCTCTCCCTCTCCTTTTTCTTTTTTGTGGCCATCTGGCCATGCCTGTGGAGGGCGCCATTAAGGTTTAAGATTTCACTTGAAAGACTAACTGGTATCATGTTGAAGGTCTAGTTCTGTCAGCATCTGAATTCACTGAATAGTGTGAAAATATTTCTTTGTTGTGAACCAGACACAGGACAGATGTTTCTGACTGGCCTGCCTGCAGTCCAGATCTGTTGAGCAGCTCAAGGCTTAAAAATATTAATACAGTTCAGAAATTAAATTTAAAAACTTTAAAGAATTTTAATTTTTTTTTTTAAAAAAAGAACACGTGAATTTGTCACATGACTTAGCTGCAACTCCCCTAACTGCTGTACAGTTATGGGAGTTGAATGTTTACAGTATCAAATTTAAATTATTCAACCTGGACATCTTCATTATAATACAATTTCCATTATTTTGTTATGGTATGACTTACCTGCTCATTTTCTTTTTTCTGTGTTTTTCAGACATGATAAGACATCCGTCCACTGACTTTACCCCTAGTGACAGTGGTTCTTCTCCCAGTGATAGTGGTTCTAGCCCATCTCCCAGTACACCACAGAAAGTACTCCCAGGATGCATCTTTGGTCCAAGGCTGCTTCATGCAACACCAAGCTCCACTGGTTCAACAAGACCTCAACCTGAGGGCTCAGATCATCGCAACCCCATCTCACGGAGATTGTCTGGAAAGTTAGGTGGTCACGGACCATGTGGGCGCCATATTCCTTTTAAAATGGAAAGGATCAAGGTTTGTTTTTGTTCCTTTTTTCCTCTAGGCATATTTGTATTGAAGATACATTATTGAACATATGCTGTTGGTAAATCTACAGTATTAAATCATTTCATCAATTTTGATAGGTTCTGACTGGATCTGAGGTGGAAAGTGACTTCCCAGATGATCAAACCATTGGCACAAGGGTGGTGATGGGTCAAGAGACACTGCTCAAATCAACAGAGATCCAGAAAGTAAAGCCACTGGTTGAGCCAGTTGGTCAGACTCCACCCACACCAGCTCCACCACTTCCTCAGGCACAATCAAAGGAGGAAAACAGTGGTCTAAAACAGGAAGACGAGCAGAAAGACCCTGTCCAACTTTCCACCAAACACTTTTCACCTTCTCACAAGCCTCCATCACCGTCCTCATCCTCTCCACAGCCCGTCACAGCTGAAGACACAGTGATGGACACACAGGAAGAGGGTGGAACCTCTCAAAAAGAAGTGCCTTCCCTCCCTTTTTCTGAGCTGGCCTGTCCAGTTACTTTGTCCTTTTCGGAACCAGCCTTTGCTGTTGACCCTCTACGAGTAGGAATGCCCTCGTCCCTAGACCCCGACCTTTATTACACTGCCCCTTCTACCCCAATAAAAATGACTCCCTGCTCTTCACACCTTAAACACAACTCTTATCCAGGATCACCTGCCTGTCCTCTTTCTCCCGGTTCTCCCTCAGACAGCGAGGATCTCTGCTCTCCTCTCACTTCTCCCACCGGCTCTTATATCACAGCAGAGGGAGGCAGCTGGACCTCCTCCTACACATCTTCCACCTCCCCATCCACATCTCCCAATCCACTCCTCACAGAAGAAGCACAGGAAGCCCATGCCTGCTTTGTAAGCTCCTTATCAGAAATTGGAGATGAAGTCGGGGAAGAAAAAGGACAAGTGGGACCAGAGAAAGAAGAAGAAAGAGTTGGGGACTATAGCTCGCACCGTCCTGAAGATTTCAGTTCAAATCCGAGAATAGGTAGAACAGAAGCGGTGATTCTCGAGGAGGAGGAGGAGGCTCCAACGGTGGACGAGGTCAAAGTAACTAGAGAAAGTTGTCGTCCGTCCTGGGTGACGGAGAACAGGACGTCTCTACGAAGCAGTAGCAGCCATAGCAGTGACTCTCAGGAAGATGAAGGAGAATCTGAATGCTCAGTCTTTCCACCTGAAGAGGCTAATTCAGGTAAAATAGAATGTGCTAGAAACATGCAGACAGGTCTTAGCTTGCAACTAGACACATGCCTAGCAGAGGAAGTTTACAGACAAATTGATGAGCAACCACATCTATTATCTACTGCTTTGACTCCGGACATGACCATGGGCTCATCCAGCTTTAGCTCTGATTCTCCGCTCACCCCTCATGATGTTTTTGGTCCTGGAGCGTTTGATAGACTGGGCTCTGGTTCTTTCATATTCTCTCAGGCAGCTTCTGCTGATGATACGCCAGAGGAAGAAAGGATGATCCCTGCTTCCCTCATCTCCTTTCCTCTCAACACCAGCCTTATCTTTAGAGCCGATTCCATGGAAATCACTCTGTTCCCCACAGAGGAAGATTACGACATTGGAGAAGTTCCTGATGGAGATGAAGGGAAGGACGTGGATGCCTACGCAGCAGGAGAGGAGGAGGCAGATGTTGAAGATGGAGATGATGATGATGACGATGACGAGGATGATGAGGATGATGATTACGATGATGGCGATGACGGTGAATGCAGTGCCAGTGGTGCTGCCGACTGTGATGACAATAACGAAAATCATGAAGATATTGATAACGAAGAGGGGGCACCTGTGGAAGCTAAGGTGGAGGTGAAAGTGGTAGAAGATGTAGAAGGAGTAGTAGATGTGGAGTGTGGTAGCAGAGCAGTGGAGGACCCAAGAGATGAGGACAGCTCAGCATCGTTCCTTCATTCACTTTCAGAAACATCGATTAACGAGGGTCTGGATGAATCTTTTTGTTATCAAGATGACACAGATGACTCCTTAGATTCTGCATCTTACAATGGAGATGAAGATGAATGTCTCTACAGCACTGAGAGACACGCACAATCACTAGAACCAACATCCAATGTATGTACTCCTGTTGATGTGCCCACAGAACCTGAACAGGTGTCGAAAAGCTGCACAAATTCAAATGAAAATATACAGGTGCAACTTAACACAGAAAAAACATGCGATCCTTGTGAAATCACGTCTCTTTCTGAAACTGCCCATCCCATGGAAAACACCAGAATTTCTGAAGATCCGGAAGATCCTCAGCCATGTGAACCTCTGTCACACCCAGAATCAGAGTCGTCCAGAGGAATCGGTCAGCTGGAACCGCCGCCTTTAAAAACTAGCTCAGATAAACCCTCAAATGACCAGAATGCATCCTGCCTTTTTGAATCCGATTCACACCAACCCGACATCTCTGGTGAGTCAGATGGGAGCACCGGGGGGTTGATAAGTACTTCTGATCCTTTCACCATTCTTGAGGATTCCAATGACAGACATCAGGTCCATCACACAGTAATGCCTGATGTCATTCCTGATCCTCCAAACCATGTTAATAAATCCTCCTCTCTTACTTTGTCACAGAAAAATGAGGATCTGGACAGTTCAACAGATGTAACTAAGAAAAATACCCAGCAGAGAAATACAACAATGAAACAAAGCACTGATTGTTCTGTGGAAACGTCCACCCAAGAACTAGAGAGGGACTCTTTCAAATTGCTCATCAGACCTCGTCATTGTCAGCCAGAGAGCCAGACCACAGTCAGAGCAACTAGGCTTGTGTTATCAAAGTCTCTTTCCACTAAATCTGACGTACCAAGAGGAGCAGAGGCCATGTACAGACCTGGTATGGTTATGGAGTCTGAGCTCAAGCAAGACCAGAAGAATGGTAGAACGTCAGTGGAATCTGTTGGTGCAGAGTCCAGGAACTCAGGTTCTACTTCCTCCTCCGACATCGCTGCTGCTACCAATGACTTGAATAAAGGTGTTGTCCTTCTGTCCTCTCCTAAAGACACTTGTCCCAGCCCCAGTAATATACCCGTGTCTGTCACCTCAGACGTTGTTGACAATCTTTCTCTTACATCTGAATTCTTTCCAAGTGACTGTGGCCAGGAGAATCTGAGGGAAACCCTGCAGGGTACTATTGAGGGTGCGATGGGCGCTGTTGGATCTCACTCCCCTGTCGCTATTTCACCCAAAAGGGAAAACTCAGAAATGGAGACAAAGAGGCGAATGGATTCCAGGTCTGGGATGAGGGGTGATGGCAGGATGGTCACTGGGTTGGGCTTTAGTTCGGAGCCAGTGGCAGATTTGGTTGGATGGAAAGATGGACAGCTTTTGGAGAATCAATATGAGATGGAGTCAGAAAGTCAAAACAAACAGATGACGGTGGTCCCCAGTCCGGAGGTTATTACATGTGAACATTATATCAATGTCCCAGATACTGGTGTTCAAGAGGAAGAAAACTACAGTCAGTGTGAAATGACAGACCGGATAACAGATGAAAAACTGATTGAAAAAATTTCATCTGAATCTATCCTGACCTCATGGAAATCAATTGAAGAGATTTCAGAAGCGGGAGGGGGAGAAGATGGAAGCACTGAAATACCAGTGGATGAAGATAGTTATCTTAACACAGGCACTGATGTGGACAGGAAGAACACAACAATACAGGACACATGGAACAACAACAGCAACGACTCTGCATTTGAGTCCTTAAAAGAAATGATGTGTGGAACTTTGAACGCTCTCTCAGAGGAGGTGAGACCGCAGAACGTGAACATCACTGTCAAAGGGTCCCCTTCTAATATTCCACTTGAGGAGATTCAACATCAGGCTTCCGACTCATTTGCCGATCAAACTGAGGAGTCGCTAGACAGCTCCGTAAACCAGACGTCGGAAACGAGACAGACATCATCCCCAAAGAAGGATGTCTGTAACACCTCAGCGTCAATTAAAACCAGCATGAACACGGTGGCAAAAAGTCAACATTTCCATTGCTCAACTGAACTTCATCAGGATGCAACAACTGCAGCTAATGACTCCTTTTGTTTCCCTCATGGATCCTTTGGTTCTTTTACTCCTAAATGTAAATCTGCTGAACTCAGACCCAGTCGGCGTTCCCAGTACAAAGTGGAAAATAATGACGAAGAAACTTTGGAGAGTTTAAAGCCCGAGACTGATCGTAATCAGAAGGTTGAAATAACCGACACACTCACTCGTGAATCATTGGGTGAAGAAGCCCTTGGAGGACAACAGTGTTTTTGTTATAACTCAGGGGAAGATGGTGGCGATGAGACAACAGATAAAAAAATCCAAGGTGACAAGAGAGACAAGAACAAAAAAATGGAGAGAAAGGCCTCCCCCTTACAGACGAGCCCCAAACACATGTCGTGTCCCGGCCCTAAGGAGGGTTTTACAGACAAACCAAACACTGCTGAGAAAGGTCGTAGAGGGAAGCAAAGGAAACACAGAAAATCCCAGAAAGATGACCATGGTAGTTCAAGCTCTGACTCTGTGGACGATATGATGAAAGACGATTTGTCAAATACCACAGCAGAGGAACGGACAAAGGAGATCACAGGTGTCCCTAAACCTGAGACAGATCAAGAGGCAAAGGCGAAAACTTCACCACTGGGCCATCAGAACAGCACGTCTGGGACAGACAATGCAGAGCCTCACACAGAAGTACAGGACCACAGTAGTACCAGGCCTGAGGTTAGCAGTCACGAATGCCTTGAGTCCACTTCACAGGTTCTGGATAACATCAACGTTATTGTGGCACTGAATGAAGAAATGCAACAGAAAGAGCAAACACTGGATAACAGGCCTTTAATAACTAACAGGAGAATTACAGTAGATATCAATGACAACAACATTGTGACTGACCACACCCAAATTATATCATCTCCACATTCCCGTTCATCCACTCCTTTACCCTGTGCTTCATCTGAGGAGGTGGACGATCTTCCCACACCAATACAAGAATCTCAACCTGTCCTTTCCATCGGCCAACAGTCTTTTCTGTCTCCGTGTCAGGATAATACCTTTTGCTCAAGCTCCCAGGAAACCCAGCAACCATCCAACGACACGTTTCCTTCCTGTAGCAGCAGCATCCAGAAGATTCCGTCTGTGACACCTCCATCTGCCTCGTTCTCTACGGCTACAACAGCCAGTCTTACCCAGCCAACCCAGGAATCATCTTTGTCTGTGTCAGGAAATAATGACTCGCTACGCATCGAAGATTCTGTTTCCTGTCTCCAGTCTCAGTCCTATTCTCATCCTCTGCCTCATCCCAACAACCAGTCTCACAAACATAAACAGGGTTACACCAGGAGCTCACAGGAAAAACCAAGAGGTGAGTTCAGAAATGACACAACCAATTGATACGATGATGAGTTTGTTGTATGTATTGGATATATCAGCCAAATTTAACCTTAAAATTCCGGCAGGACACAACCAAACAAAAATGTCACAAAAGTATCTGTGATTAAATACAATGATCTTCTAGTTTCATAGTTTCATCAATTTACTTGCAATTTACCTACTCAGTAATAAACCCAGCATATTCCTATTTTTTCCGAGTGCTGGCAGGAATTGAAGAAAGACACACAGGAAGATTGTCTTGTACTATGAGTCTCTTTTTAGTTTGTATTGCCCCCTGGTGGGGATCAACTGATATATGGTTGAGGATATATCTATGTAATATTTATCATATATTTACACTATGTTTATATATATATATTGTATATATTGTATATGTATATGATATATATATCTACATTGTATTATACATATATAATTATATACATACATATTGGTGCATGTGTGTGTGTGTGTATTGATATATGTGTATATAAATGTATATGTACAGCTTTGTAACCACAGTATTTTAAAAACTTGTTTTATTATTGTCCTCTAGATGGTCCTTGTCTAGCTGAGGGGAATAAAGAGGTCAAGGATGACACTGTCCTGCCTGGACATGGAGACAGGTCCCAGTCAAGGGAAGTTGCAGGAAATGACGGTCCATCGATTCATCAGGAACTGGAGCCCTTTACTTCAACTATCATGACTGACAGGCCGTCTGGGGGTGCCATCAATCACAGTCACAGGATTACTGAAGACATTGACATATCCTTCAAACACAATTGTGAGTCCTGTCACTCACCTGAGAATTAATCAGCCAAATATATTATGTCCTCATGACAACAGGCAACAACCCTCAGTTCAAAATCCCTTTCACTGTGTCTGCTTTGGTTTTCCTCGGCTGTATGCTGAACATGCTGCTGTGTAGGTTCCATCCTGGCTTCCTGTAATGAGTCTGAGAGTGAAGGGTCAGTGCCCGAGCTGGAGGAGGCAGAACCGCTGAGGCCACCAGAACATCTGGTGAGTCCGTCCTTCTGTGTGTGACATGTACCAGTGAGACGGATTACTTTTTGAATCAGGCGATGTTTTCAATCATGTCATCATTAGTTCTCATCATGTCCTGTTCTGTCTGGTGGTGACAACAATACAAGGCATCTGGCAGTTAGTTGGAAGTGACCTCTAAAAACCAAATTACTCCGTTTTTCTTTCAGTCTCTCTCCTCTGCAGATGAAGGGCTAAACAGACCTAAGCAGAGTCGGAGTGAGAAGAAGGCTCGCAAGGTCAGTTTTAAACTGTGTGAAAAAAACACTATGTAGATTTGGGTTCTCAAACTCTGATGGGTTGGGAGTTTAACATTATTGCTGATTGATATATGTAATTGACTGACTTTCTACTGTCTTGCACCAAACATTGTACATTTGTGTGTAATTTACTCTTGTAATTGTAACAAAATTACTTGAGTTACCAGCAATGTATTACCAGCATGTTATGTTGCATACAGTAATATAAGATATATCCAGATTAAAGCACATGAAATCCTGTGCTGTGTAGTGGATAATGAGATGGTTCTTCACTGCTACTGGACAACAGTACAAGATACTGATCTGCCTGTCTTTGGTTCTGTCTCTACCTGCTGCCCACTGTGTATGTAGGCCATGTCTAAACTGGGTCTTAAACCAGTCCATGGTGTGACCAGAATAACGATAAGGAAGTCCAAGAGTATCCTGTTTGTCATCAGCAGACCTGATGTCTTCAAAAGCCCTGCATCAGACATTTACATCGTATTTGGAGAAGCCAAGGTGAGATTTCCATCCTTCCTTCCTTCCTTTTTCCTTTCCTTCTGTAGTGTTCGTTTTTTTTTTGTCTTTTTTTGTCATTTCTTTTTCAGCCTCCTTGCCCCCTTTATCCTTCCTTCCTGCGTTGCTTTCTTCCATACATGTTTCCCTCCTTTCCTTCTTCTTTATCCTTTCATCCTCTCTCTCTTTCTTTCCTTCTTCATTCATTCCTTTCTTTACTTTTTTCTTGCTCCCCTTCTGCCTTCCTTTTATCCTACCTATCTTTCCTCCTTCCCTGCTTTTCTCCTCTCCCTCTGTCTCTCTCTAGTGGACGACTCTTATGTTCTGTACGTCTCCTCCCCTCCCCTCCTCTCTCAGATTGAGGACCTATCACAGCAGGCTCACAAAGCTGCTGCAGAGAAATTCAAAATGCCGGTGACATCTTCTCCTCTGGCTCCTCCTGTCCCACCCAGCCTCACCATCAAGGAGGAGAGTGAAGAGGAGGAAGAGGAGGTAGTATACCACCTCAAACTTCACAGAATTCTGAATTAGAGTCTATGTTGTTTTTATATAATCTCACACTCTTCTTAACCTCTCTTTTTCCCCATCTCTGATGCTCCAGTTGGACGAGGGAGGTCTGGAGCAGAGGGACATTGAGCTGGTGATGGCTCAGGCCAATGTGTCGCGAGCTAAGGCTGTCCGTGCGCTGAAACACAACAAGAATGACATTGTGAATGCCATCATGGTGAGAGGGGAGGAAGGGGGAGAGGAGGAGGAGGGCAAGGGAGGGGGCAAACTTGGAGGGAGAGAAGCTGCTGCACAAAGTAATGAGTCATAGTTACTGTATAATTTGAAGTGCAATCTTACCTAAGCAGCTCAACAACCTATACTGGTTGTGTCCACTAGATGGCAGCCGAAGGTTTCACTAAGACAAACGTTGTATCCATTACGATCCAGTCCTACTTTATTCACTTCATTCAAGGCACAGCATTACGATAGTGTTCTCATAATGTTATATTTTTATTCCTTAAACTTATATTTTTCTGACAACAGTACTAATATATTGTACCACTTTATTCACGTAAACTTACGTCTTTATTCTCGTAAAAATTTGATTTTGTTAGATTGTTTTTATCCTTTATTCTTACCCTTTACTTCCATTTTTGTTTGTTTGTTTTTCACAGGAACTGACCATGTGAATGAAGGACACTTCGATCTCTAGGTTCCTTTGGTTCCAGCCTAAAAAGCCTAAATGCCACTGATTCTTCTGTCTTGCTGCTACTGTTTGTTGCTTTCCCAAAATATCTGCTGAATAAAGACTATTCGAACGTGAGCTTGACTTTTAAAAATTCAATTGGCCAATAGTGTTTAAATAATGCTCACTCTTTTCTTTTTCTTTTTTTTACAAAAAATCCGAGATGAGAGCAGATATAAAATATTGATAGATACTTAACACACATTCCTTTTGTTAAAATCTTTATTATTGTCCTTAGAAAAATATTCTCATTAGTAATTATAATTGTTTTTGTTGTTTACCACATTTTAAAAAAAATTCCATACCTTAGCTGAAATGTTTTCTTTTTTTTTTCTTCCCCCCAGTATTTGCTCACACAATTAAGATTTCTAGCATACCAAAACAAAGAAGATGACAAAACAAACATTGGCAAAAACACACGTCTGTGAAGTCGAGTCCAAAACAAAAAACATACCAGACGAGACGAGTCATCTTCTAATTATAGTTATCTGTCTACATGTCAATGTTACGTTAAGGCCTTTTTTTAAGCAGATGTGATGCAATCCAGTGGGTTAAAAAACACTCAGTAATACCATCACAGGTGTATTGTATGGTGAACTAATAGATAAACAGTCAATCACTTGGTCAATAGACAGGTAAGTACTCAACAGTAGCAAAATAAACACAGGATTTTATGCCTAAGTGACCTGTCAGAGGCCACACCTCACTGTAGCACGGTAGTATCTGTAAGGCAAACGTGTCGCTCCGCTGCAGTGCAGCCAGATAACATTTCATTTAGAGAGTGGATTAAATTCCCTTTTGGCTCGACTCGAAGTCTTTGGAGTAAACAAGTTTAAGATGAATTAGCAGGGAAAACGTTGTTTTCAAAGTGTCCCTGATTGGTGATGTTCCCAGCTGGGAAGTATCTTGCTACGACGAATGAAGAACCGTCCGATGCTATGGCTTTGCCGATGCCCAGCTCTTTGCTGCTTTTCCACACCATTGCAGTGAAATGGCCTTGACAGGGTTAAGAAGAAAAAAACAAGTATTATAACGGCTCATTTTTGGCCCTTTTCACCAAATCACATTGAGTCATAGTGAGTAACTGTCATGTGATCTTCTTAATGTGGTTTAGATTAACACACTCATGCACCCTGGAGTCTACAGTTTCAGGAAACTATTTGGTAGAATCAGGAGACGACACAAAAGACTTGATGGGAAACGTTCCCATGTTCTTAAGAACAGAAGTCACATGCTGAGGTGTAGCATGAAAGTGGAAACAAAACATATCACTATATCAACACGACTGCTGAAAAAATGGTGTGTGGTTTCAAAGCTGTTTTTTCTCTATGAAGCTACATGTCTTCCAGACATTTTTCCATATGAAGAATTCCATCATTTGGAATAATCACAAAAATGCAGGTGAGAAACACTGCCATCTACCTGTTGCTATTTCTTTCTATTTCAGCTATGTACAATTTTCTTTCCCATTTAGGAATGTTGAGTTATCCTGATTAATCATGACCAATCACGATTAATTATGATTGCAATCAATCATGGTTTACACATGAAAAATTACGATCCCCATAAATGAAGCTTAATTGTGATTATTAATCTCTATTACTAATGATTTATTCTTGACTTCCTGTGACCACGTTTGATTTTGATTAATCTATAGTAATCATGTAATCAATAATCAATCACAGTACAGTGTGTGTGTGTGTGTGTGTACTGAATCTAATGTGTTTTCCTGTATAATTCCACAGCGTGTATCTCACCTGTACCAGAGGAGAATCCAGGACGGCTGAAGTTGTACTGTTTGACTTCTTCATACCAGCGATCGACAACATCTTTCCCTGTGTGAGAACAAGACAAAGAGTGTAACCTTAACACAGATCCGGATCAGACCTGTCATTTATCTCCGACGGACACCAACGTGAGAACACTGCACCAAATCATACACTTTAGACAACTGACATTTTTCTTCAGCCGCCGCAGTATTGTGGAGGACGTTCTACTGATCTCTGGGCATACATTTCTTGTGACTCATGGTGAGTGTGCAGAGGCCAACAGAGAGCTCCCAGCTGTTCACTCCTGGGCTGGGAACCTCATGCTGCGTCGGTCTGTGTGCCTTTTGACCTCTGCTGCGTATCCACCGCTTCAATATTCAGTCCAACGTGTGATGAAAGTACGTGAATCTATAACAGACAGTTATTCCTCCTTCTGCAGTACCTGTTTGGTCATAGGAAGCCCAGGCCAGGTTCTCTCCACAGCTCCCTCTGCTGGACTGTTCACTGTGCTTCAGGATCTTTGTGCTTGCCAGGCTTTCAGCATAACTGGACACATCAGTCAAAGGTAACGGACAACATGAGTATACATTCCTTGTTAGCTTTTATGTTACTTTGACATCCACTGCAAGGTCATGACTTCACTGAACAAATAATCTGATTCTGAAGTCCATGCAAACCCTGTCCATATTTACAGCTAAATTCTCCTGAAATGGTCACAAGCTCTTTTTTATAGGCTTTTATCCCCACTCCGCTGTCTTCCGCCCTCTAGATAAACAGTCCTTCTGAGGTTTACTGCAGTGGAAAAGTACCCCAGAGTTACAAAGACATTTCTCAAGAAGCAGACTTTGAATCTAAATATTTAAAATCACTGCAATATAGTGCAGTGTTAAAAGCAGAGACTACAAAAACAATGTCTCAATAATATAATGTTTAAAAGACATCTCATTTACTGTTTATATGAAATTTCAAAACTTTGAGTTTGTGTTTCATTTTAATTTTCATATTATTATCATAATCTCAATGTATCCATTTTTTGTAGTATTTGGACTGGTTTTCTACACAAATGACCACAGAAATATCAAATATCTCACATAGATTTAATCTCTATATTTTTCAATTTTTTTTTCATATTTTAAAAAAATGTTATCATGTACTGTTTATTATTAAAACTGAAACTGACTGAAACTTACGTTTCTACAACAGAAAGAATCCATCGTGTGTTCTAGTAATTGTCTATTCTCCTTCAGTTGTCACTAAAGTACAAAATAATCATCTCGTTTTTTGCCCTCACTGTTTGAGGAAGTTGACAGAAAGTTCAGAACGTTTCTATAACACCTCGAACCCATGTGACATTTTCCCGTTGCTCTGAGGTGATTTGGAGATAATGGCTGGAAATGAACTTCTATTAAAACATCGTTTGAATGAAATGTCAATATTGCAGTGGGTGCTGTCGTGGAACTGTCAATAAGCTGTGATTGCAATAAAAAAAAGACAAGCAATAATGAAAATGAAGAAGAAACAGAGGCTTTCACTATTAGTCTTCTATGTTTAAATGCTAATTGTACCTGGCAGGACAGACTGGAGCCTTCATTATTGGCCATACTTCCTGCTAATGAGGGTTCTGGTTCTAATCAGCGTGTGCATTAACCCACCGGGCAGCCTCTCTGCTCAGCTTTGAGCTCAGCTTCAGTGGAGGAGCCTGGTGCTTCCGTCGGTACTCATTATGGCACCGCAGAACTTCATTAGAAAACTGCCTGGAGGCTGAGAGACAGAGACGACAGAAGGGGTCACAGGGGTCACACCAGGGAGCAGATGATGATTAAAGCAGAGACTGGAACATGACTGGGAGTAGAGCAGCTACAGACTGACTGACTGACTGACTGCACCAGGAGATGATGGAGTCACCCTCACCCCTCCACCTCCCCCGCTGCCTGGTGCCTATCACTCACTGGCCTTTTCATAAGTGTCACAATCTCCTGAGAGCTGCCAAACAATAGGCACATTCAAATAGTGGCAAAGAAACAATAGAAATATTCAACATGCTGCACCGTAGCTGGTGTCGAAAAGCTGAATAGGAAAATAAAATTGAAATGTTACTAAGAATCACACTAGTGAGACATTTGAAGATGTGAATAAAAAACAAACAAACAACAAAAAAAAACTGAAAAAAAAAACTGTTGAAAAACTGAAAAAAACCCTCTGTTTCCTCTCATCAGTGACACCAAAGCCGAGGCGCAGAGTTACTGAAAGGAGGAAGACGTTGCTGCAGATGAAGCCTTTTCCACTTACCTGACGTCCCCATGGTGCTGACACGCTGAGCTGTTCAGTCTGAGCTGTGAGAAGCCTCTGTCTCCTTCACTCTTTCTTCCCTCCCTCTGTCCCTTCACTGCTGTTTATATAACCCTGATGCTCTGAAGCAGCTACTCTAACACTCAGCTAAGGAAGTACTGCTCCTGCAGCTGGCGTCTCACTGTGGTTTTTAATAAACCGGTTTCAGTTCTGAGGCCACGCCCCTGAACTGTTGGCCTGTCCCACACACCCCCAATGTCAATAAACTGCTACAGGGGAGAGTGTGACATCATCACTGTGAGATACATTCCCACCGACCATTTATGGACACGTGTCCCACAACATTTCCAGCGGGAAAACTGACTTTTTTTTCTTCTTCCAATGACTCATTTTTCTCAGACACACAGCTCTACATCACCACCAGGCATAGGGTTAGCGTTAGCTTGCACACAGTAGGCTACATTTAATGATTACCATCTGCATTAATCTTTCATTTTCACTTTGGCAGAAATATCGTATTAGTGAGGGGAATACAGTGACTTCCACTAACAGCACTCACTGCCCGTCAGCAACTACAGCCAGGTCAGCTGACTTCAGAAAAAGACGGGGTCTCTGCTTCTCCCTCCCCCACCGTGAAAAATGTGAAGACATTTAATGATACTGTAAAATCTGGAATGAACGACATGAACGTAGGTGAAAATTAAATCACTAAAACATGTTAGGACGTCTCTGCCCATGACCATAAAGACTTGAGACGTGACATAGTACTGGTTTCAAAACCTTCAGGCATGGACGTGGACTTAAGTACAAAGGTTTAGTCCTGACTTGGACTTAAACATCTCTGTTTGGAACCTTTTGACCTTAACCTTTTCCCGTCGTATTTCCTTCCATATTATAAAGCTGAGAACCAATCAGTTACAGTTACAAATCTTTTGATTTTTAAAAATTGTTTTGCAGCTGTTAAATTTTACAAAAATAAAAAAAAAAAATTATTTTGTATTTGGAAAAGTTAGAAAATCCCTGAAAAAACAAAGACTGTTTGACTTCCCCGTTTACCCATAGACCTCCATGAATGTCATGACATCCCACTCCCCACACTTCAGTGACGTCATCACTAATGTAGGAGTCAGAATTTATGGAAATATTTTTTTTAAAATCTTGTGTAATATTGAGTTTTATAGTTCATATTTTTAAGTTTTCTAGAATATATTTTAGTGAATGCTCCTTTTATTGCTTTGTATTTAACTGACAGCTAGAGTAGTTCTTATTTTATTATTATTATTATTTTTGATAATTTAGTTAACGTTTTGGAAACCAAGTGACAACTCTTTCATTCATGTTCCAGCACCTAACGTTCCTGCAGCTCATCAGTGGCTTTAACAACAGCCCGATGAAATGCCAACAGCCAGTTAGACAGAATTAACTCAGGGAGATGAAGAGAAATAAACACAAATGTTGGTCAAATGAACAGCAACAAACCAGGTTAGTGTTGCATGAGACGGGCCATGTTGCAAGAACAAGCCAGGAAGGTTGTGGTCGGTACAAAAACAAATCCGCTGTAGCCTCGAGCTAACACTGACATGAAGGAGCTGCGAGTCAAGGCAGCTGTTGAAACCTGCTCTTTAACAACAGTGGAGCTTGAAGAGGTTTTTTTTTTCTTTTTTGTGTGGAAAAAGACCCTCAGAGGACAGCCTGTATCCTCTTTGTTTACTGCAACATAAAACAAACTCCTAATCTCACCCACCTGCAGGTTAAAGAGCGCTCCTGTTAAAGGCACTGGAACTGAAGAAAACAGTACTGTAACACTCTCAAATGTGTACTCTTTAATCTTTAGGTGACATTTGTCTTTTACATCAGCAGATACTGCTGGTTTCAGTTCTGGATGTTTTAAAAAGACGTAAAAAGAAGTATTTGTGTAAGGCTCAGTGGCGCATCCCACTGTTGAATGTGAAACACTGCATTTCTCAAGCTCTGCTGGCACTACATAACAGGGGAGGGAAATGCACTTGTTACCACAGTAGAATTAAATACACTAAAACAATAAGGCACAAAAACATTGATTAAGACTAATTACAAAGCTGAGAACGTCAGAGAGAGTCTCAGCTACAATTTTTTTTTTTTTTTTTTGCAGAAGTATAACTCGTGCAACTGTACTAGTTGTGTAAATGACACAGAGGAGAAGAAGTACAGTCACATTCCTTCCGTAGACTGTATCATGTGGAGACAAGGAGGAAACAGATGACGATCGTACAGACTCTTACACCAAGGCTGGAGAAGTCGACTTTGTTTAGAGAATGAGGTTTGATATAATTAAAAGTATTATTTCAGACAAATACTCTCATCGAGACCATTCTTTTACCCCTAGAAACCCTGTGGATTATGGAGGGGAAAAAAAGAAGCTGTAATCCTGGTCCATCTTGTCTCTTCTGATTAAGAAAGGTTTAAATTAGCAAATATTCAAAATTACATTTTGTATTTTAATGTCTTTAATGTATTTATAAGAGATGTAATGATTGATAAAAACATTATTATTATTATGATTGCACTGCAACTGCACATTTCAGACCGCGACTTAAAAATAAGAAAATATTTTATTGAATTAAAAAAATAAATAACTAAAAAAGTGATTTAAAAAATATATATATGAAAACTGGAAACAGCAAATAAGGATGTAAGAATGTGGCACTTGTGGAAATCATTTTTTTTGTTCAGTCAGAATGATTTAACGCCAATATACTGTCTGTCTGTTCCAGGGTTCATCAGTTCATCACACTCACCTGTGGCCTGTGGCTCTGCCATGTTCCCTGTTCCCTGTTCCCCGTTCCCCGTTCCTGTGTCTCCTGTCTGGTCCTGCTGCGGTGAGTTTTTGTTGAACTTTTGTTGAAGGATCCTGCTTCCACACAAATGACAAATCGCAACAGATACAGACAGAGTTTATACAGCATGAACAGGGCAAAACCAGTCAAGGCGTGGTGAATGTGTTTGTGTGTGTCTGTGTGTGTGTCTGTCTGCAAGAATCCAATTGTGGGTGTGTGGGTACACATCTGATAAAACAATACGTTTATATGGAAAGTGAATAAAAATAGAACATGAATAACACAGATATATAATATACATATATAATGCACACATATATGTGTAAATATGTATGTATATATACATTTCAGCTTCAGCAATTAACAGCAAGTGTATATATGTACGTATATATGTACATATATATTTACAGTGAAAACAATACTGACATTAGCCTGTAATGTAATCAAATCTACTAAAAAACCCACTTCAACTTTCATAAACCAGCTCTTTATACTAATTCAAAGCAACACTCTTTTCTTCGGCCCACAGCATGGGCTCTGCCGTCTTAGCAGCTAATGCAGCCTCACACACTGAGAGGAGAAAAAATCATTATCCCAAAGACAATTATGTAAATAGGTCATATTGACCTGCAGAGAAGTCAGATAATCACAGTCTGTTTTGTGGAATAAAAGGCTGTAAACAAACACTTCACCACCAGACAGCCGCATATACAGATAGATTTTTTTTTTACGTCACGTAATGGTCTTATATTCTGCCCACGCATATGCATTGATTTCATCTGGTAAATATAGCCTCGTGTCCACACCTCTCAGGTTTTGGATGAATAAAGCCTCTTAGTTTAAAACTATGCGAGGTTAGAATCTACAAATTAATGTCAAGGTGAAAACCCGATACCGCAGTGCCTGAATTTTGATTTGATTTGAATTTTTCAAATTACTTGTGCCCTAAAAATAGTTTTAGGGATAAACGGCTGTACATGAAAGTGAAAGTCACTAGATGGCAGCATTGCAGCTCATTTAATTGATATATTTTAATAATATATTATATATATATATTGGTATTGATGCTGAATGCTGGTGCCAGCAATTTGTACAGTGATTTGTTCAGGTAAATAAATACATATTGCCAGGCCTATATCGGTATCGGTTGGTATTGGAATCGGAAATTAAGTCTTTGGACAATATTGACATATCGGCAAAAAGTTAATATCTGACATCCCTAATAATAATATATCAAACTGCAGTCATCATTCTTTTAAAAGATGTTTGAAGAACTGCTTTTACCATATTTTAACTTTTTCAGATCAAACCGGCGAAAAAAATATTATCCATCACGATCCTTTTATATTTCACTTTGTATTAAGACTTTTTTTAATAACAAGGCAAATTTCCTGAGGTATTTTTGTTCCATCTCAAGCTCTTGAAAACATCAGTTTTAATCACTTTGTCCTTCTAGACATACTTTTTCAGTTTCTCACTTTTATAATTTTACTTTTGGTTGAATATATTATATATTGTGAGACTTATTAGTAATTATTTGAAAATACCTTTGTACCTATCCATCCATCCATCCATCCATCCATCCATCCCTCCATCTAAAATTCCAAGTGTTCAAAATCCGTCAATTACTTTCTCTTACATGTTGCATTCTATTAGCCACAAGATGGCACTATGGGCACAGGTCCAGAGCGAGGATGAGGTTGAACTATTAGTGGCACTTGTGCCACAAATGAGAACTTGGTTTCATAATGTGAGTGGACATGATGGGATTCATGTGAAAAGTCAAGCCACTTGATTTCTCATTAGCTGGATAGTGCAATTCCAACAAATTGATTTCCTCCTTTCCTCCTCCTCACATCTGCAGGATGATGAGAGTGGACAGCTGGAGGAAGACATTTACATAGTGCTGTGTGAAGACGCCGCAGTGTCACAGCCATACATCTAAATTCATACTAATTGAGATGGTTTGTAGTGGGTGTATTTGTGCGCAGATGTGTGAATATGTGTGTGTGTGTCGGGGTTGGAGGGTGTGTGTGCGCACATGGCTCTGGTGGATGGAATGGTAATGTGATTTATAGACAAAGTCCCTTTTAAAGGAACATAGGGGACATTGATCCATGCAGATATTGCATCATTCATCTTTCCACATTGACTAGATCTGCTCCACTTATTGCTCGGCTTCTCTGCCTGTCAGGTGTGACACTGCCCCCCCCCCCTTCTCTCCCATTCACTTTTATTTTATCCTACTTTGCGTCTGCTATTTAATTGATTCTTTGTTCTCTGTAGAAAGCAGAGAACAGCAAATTGCAGCTTTCACACATATTCATACCTGATGTTGTCATGACAGAGTCTCGGGTTCACAGATGGAATATAACCGTC